TGGAATGTTCAAATTTCGCTTTCCTGTCTCTGATCTTTCGTTCGTTTCTCGATTAACATTAGAAGCAACAGAGTTTTACTAAGCTTTACTTAATAACTATGAGTTTAGAAATATGGTCCTAAAAGGATTTGACTATAAAGTAGGGAACGCAAGGATGCCTTTTAGTAAGAGGACTGTACAAGGTTTAACGAATCACAGCATTTACCCTAAAATCTTCCAGCGAATAAAAGAATTTTATATTTCTAACTATCAACACATGATTAAAACACATAAAACAAATGCTTATAACTAACATTTAAAAACTTTATTATACCCTGCTTTGAAACCCTCTACGCTAACAAATTAATATGAATATGCTTTGTTTTAACATAACTTCTTACAAAAAAATTATATTAAAAAATTTGAAATACTTTGCTGTTACATGCATATACATATGTACGTTTTCATTTGCGTTTATACTATCATTAATTTCTCTCATACTTCATAACGTTTTGGTTTCTCATATTTGAGCCCCTCCACTTTTATATTATTATTTAACATTGTAAATATTTCTTTTGTAAATTATCTTAAAGGTTATCTTCACTTAAATTGAGATTTACCACTTAACATCTCTTTCATCTCATGTTTTTATTCCCTTTTTTGCAATACAGAACATTATAAAAAAAAAACATAGTTCCTTCCAAAAAAAAATGTTGATTGAAAATATTTTATTCAAGACTATAGTTATAAAATAATTTCTTTATAACCTAAAGGCAGTGCCACCAATCACTCCGCGGCAATAACATCACGTCAGATATGTGATCTGAGATTACTTATACCGATGCAGTATGATTAGCGGCACTGTCTTTAGATTAACCTTCTGAATACTGTAGCTTAGAATCCTATGCCAGAGTCATTTCTGGTTCACACCGATATTTTACTAATAATTAGTCGGTTTTGGATTACATTCAGATTTTCGTTATTCGTATATGAAAGAATAATAACCTCGTGAATTATAAAAAAAAGATATTTATTCTACATTTATATTACTGCATGTATTACATATAATTGTTTTGTGTAGAGTGGGCGATTAAGAGAATACAGTATTGTAATAAAATACAATATAATTCTAAATTACTTATTATTTAATACAAAGTTTATGGAATATT